GGTGCAACATTGCTACCAAAATGGAATTGCTGGAAAAAAGAAATAAATAATAAAATAAAATACTATTAATAAAATAAAATAAGATAATAAAAGTTAAACTAAATAATGCTACACAAGGTTAAATTAAATTTCAATCATTATATTTGCCTCTCCGTATTATTAAGCTCCTGCGAAATAAGGTAATTCCAAAACTTCATTAATTTTTTGTTAGGCTAGAGCTTGAGCCTCAGCTTGCAATGCAGAGAAGTCTTACTGGAACAGACGTTGAAGGACATAAAGAGTAATAGTTTGTGTACTATAAAGCTAAGATAGATTAAGAGCTCTATATAAAAGATACGTTCATCTAGGAATAATTAAAAAATCTTGAAGCTTGCATAATGGATCAATTAATTTTTTAACAAGTTTCTTAGCTTTCTGATTCCATGCTTTCTCTTGTAATAAAAATTCAAGAGAAAAATAATATAGTAATTCCTGTATGTTTGAGATTAATAAGAGCAAAAATAAAAGACATCTTTTTTCCCAAGTAACACAATAAGGTTTAGCTGGTTGTTGCTTACTACCCTTATTTTGACAAAGGTTTTTAAAAAATGTAGGCAACCTTTGATGCAATGTTTGAGCAGCCATTTTGCTTTTCGAACTCATCATCATGAGTATTTGAAATTGCTGTTTTGTTATATATATAATACTATAAACTGAAATAATATAGGTGCCTTCAATCTGAGCTTTTTCTATTTGAGCCTTTAATTTTGCAAGCATTTTTTTCATTATGCTCAAGTGTTTGTGAAGGAAATGACATTTTAGAGAGAGAAAAATTAATCTTTTGATTGTTAAAGAAAAAAAACAAGAAAGTCGCTATGATTTATAGTTTATTTGAGTTGACATAATCAATGGGGTATAGATGCCTTTATTCGAGGGTAGTAATATAATAATCTGTTTTTATAAAACTTGGTCTTGAATATATGACTGTCTATTGTCTTTAATTTGTATAACCTAAAGGGTAGTATATCATGAACATAATAAGGACCTAAATTTAAGGATTCTAATTTGGCACTGTATGACGTCTCTAACTCTAACCCATATAAAAGCACCTGATTACTGATCTCATATAATTCTAATATATTTCTCTTTTCATAATACACTTTTTGCTTAATTTGAGCTTTTCTTGGTTTTTCTTTAGCTAATCATCATACTTCTATTAATTCTCTTATTAGATTTGTCACACATCTTCATATTTGAGCCTGCAAGTCTTCTTCAGTCTCGAGCCTGGTCTGATGGTTTAACAAGCTAGTTTTGATAAAGAGAACAGCACTATGACTATATTATAAAAAGAAAGGTTAGTAGCTGATAGTACTGTGTATTGTAGTTCAATATGCAAAAAGAGCTGGAACTATACAATCATACTAGTCTTTCTCAATTTGATTTACACATTTATTTAGGATGTTATATAAAGTTTTATTAAATTTTTCTACAAGACTATTAGTCTGTGGATGATATGTAGTAGATATATAGTGAGTAACCTCCATTTTTATATAGAGCACTTTAATCAATCTATTATAAAAATGTTTTCTTTGATCTGACAATATTTCTTTAGAACTACTATGATAGCATATTAAGTCTTCAAAAATAAATCCAGCAATACTCTAAGCATTAGCCTTTTCTAAAGCTCGAGCTTCAGACCATTTGATAAGGTATTCTGTAGCTATTACAATATAATAATTATTTTTATTAGTTGTAGGAAGTGGTCCAACAATGTCTATCTCTATACGATCAAAGAGTTTGCCGATTTTATAGGATACAAGGGTTTTTAGTACAGGTTTTTTGTTTTTTGGCTGGTGTTACATATTTAAATATATGATTTTATATCTTTGCCCATTTGCAGCCAATAATACCAGAGAGCAATTTTTTGGTAAGTTGAATAAAAATTAAAGTGTCTTGCAAGAGAATTATCATGCATACTAAAAAGTATAGCTTCAATTTCTCCTTTCTTCAGGACTCTTAATTGGCCCAACGAATTGCAGAGATTATTTTTGTATAATAATCCATCTAAAACTATATAATGACAGGTCTTAAATTTTAGATCCTGTTTCTTATTAGAGCTAAAAGTTAAAGGTATATAAGTGAGGATTAAGTAGTTAAGATAAAGGTCATACAATTTTGGGTCTATTGCTCTAATCTGCAATAGTTATAAAGTTTCTTTTAAGTATATTATTAATATTCTTTCTAATAGTTTGTAGAGGATTTGAATTTATTATTTGAATTACTAGAAAAAAGGTTAATAATATCTTGCAGAATATTATAAGAGTATGAAATTATTAATAGAGGTTGCCAGGATACTGTAACCTGGGCTGAATTAACAGATTTACGGATAAGTTCTTGTTTTTTTTTTTTTTTTTTTTTATTGGTTGTACTAATTAAATTCTTGATTAATAATTCTAGATAAACTATCAATGTTGGTATAGTGCTTCCTGGGTTTATGGACAGATGTAAAGGAATACTCTATGAGGGTTATAACCCATCGAGCAAGTTGATTCTGAAGTAGTTTAAGGTTGAAAAGGTATTTCAAGGCTGAGTAGTCTGTATATAAGATTTTTTTTTTTTTTTTTTTTTTTTTTTTTTTTTTTTTTTTTATAAGGTGTCCTTTGGGACCGAGCTTTATTGATGTTTAACTGTTGACCACGTGGGTCTTACATTTAGTATTACAACGAGAGTACAACTAGCCACACATACAACTTTTGGTTGCCTATTTAAGTAGTCTGCCCGAAGGTTCTACACTAGATGCCATGCCTATAATCTGACTAGAGGATTATCTATTTAAACCCTCTGATCGTACATACCCAACAATTATTCTAAGCCAGGTACCTTTATACTGAAGTGCCTCCCACTCACTTACCTGAGTTTGGTTACCCCGCTGGTTTTCCCTAGGGTCTCCACAGGTGAGCGTAGTGGCTGCCTCCTTAATTCTTCTATGTCCCACACATTTTCAAATTAGGTTCAGAGAATCTGTCTGCTATGGCCAAGACCAACACTAGCGGTCAAGGCTAACCATTAAACTGCACAATTCCTGGTTCCCATGCCTTTACAAGGTTCATTCCAATCCCGATACCTACATCTACCTTCATTCCGGTTCTTATACCGATCCCTCCCAAACTTCTAAACCAGTTAGCCCGGATAGGTTGGTATACCTAGACTTTAAGTGTCCGATGGTTCCCTTCCTTTGGTTCCTAAATCTGCAGCATAGGACCTTTTCCTCTGGTGCGACTCCGGCAGCCAGGTTGGTGAACCCTTCTTGCCCCAGGGTTATTCGTCTGGTTCTTTGGTCTCCGGTTTCCGGGCTTCTGGCTTCTGCAGTATCGTTGAAGATCTTCACTACTTCCTTGCTCGGGTCTTTCCAAATGGGTTTCAATTATTCCGGTTCCTTGGCTTTGTTTGTGTGATGTCACACAACTTCGCCCGAAAGCTCCCATTCAAGATGGTGGTACCAAGGTTACAGATAGTACACCCAACCGATCATTGAATAAATGTTACCAAAACAAATCTTATTTTTCAAAATCGTCGCCAGTGGGATTTGAACTCTAGACCTGTCATTTGGAAGTGTTACAACTTACCAACTTCACTAAGTTGCCACACCCTTGTCTGTATATAAGATAAAATAGCCACCATGTAAATAAAAGCAGAAATAGCTTACAGCCCATACAACAGCTAGGCATTCTTTTTCTATAACACTATAGTTTTTCTCAGCTGAAGTGAAACTATGGCTGGTGCATGATATAACTTGTTCATTCCCTTTTCATTTTTTGCAATAAGATGGCACCTAAAGCCAAATCAGAAGCATCAGTAAACAGGATAAATGTTTTAGAGAAATTCAATTCCACATATAATTAATGTTTTTCTTTAATAACAAATTTAGAGGAGCTGCAATTTGGGTAAAATTTTTAATAAATTTTCAGTAATATGATGCTGACCCCAAAAATCCTCTTAGTTACCTTAGGTTTGAGGAATCAGAAAATTTTTGATGACTTCAATCTTATATGGATCAGTAGCAACGCCCTTTTTACTTACGACATATCCTAGAAATTTTAATTTTCGCTAAGCAAAATAACATTTAGAAGGCTTTAATTTAAGCACAGCTTTTCCTAGTGATTAAAAACCAACTCCAAATAGGCTAGTTATTTAGAAAAAGATATAGAAAAAATATTTATATTATCTAGATATACAATGACACACTTCTCTACTAAATCTTGAAAGAGGTAATCCATTAGATGCTGAAAGGTAGCAGGCACATTAGGTAGCCCAAAGGGCATAACGTTAAACATATATACACCAAAAGGGAGAAGTGAAGGCTGTTTTGATTTAATCTGTTTCTTCTATCTCAACTTGTCAGTAACCATTGGCTAAATCTAATGAGCTATACTATAAAGATCCCATAAGGGTATCTAACAATTCTTGAATTCAGAGAAGGAATAATTGTCCTTTTGAGTTACAGCATTAAGTTTTTGATAGTCTACACAAAAATGAGTCTGATCATCTTTTTTAGGTACCAATATGACCAGCGAAGTTCATGGGCTTTTATATACTTGAATAAGACCTTCTTTTAGCATCTACTTGATTTCCTCTTTAATAATAATCTTTTCTCTAAAGGAGTATCAATACATGTATTGTTTAATAGATAAGATGCTTTCAGTATTTATACAATTCTTAACAAATTAGTGTGCCCTAATTTATCACTCTCCTAGACAAATAAACTCATATTTTGATTTAGAAATTTCTAAAGCTGGTGGTACAGACCTTCCTCAAGGTTACTAATTTGATTAGTATTTTTCTTACTTGATTCTTCTCTGTAGTAATAGTAAAATAAATCACTAATCGGCATATTTTCTTTTACTTCTATTCTGACAGATATGTAGCCTCAAGAATCCTTCTTAAAGATATCTATTTCTGGCAAAATCATAAAAGCACTTAACTTGTATAGATTTGTTTTTTTTCTTTTTAATTTTTTGTCATCATTTTGTTTCATCTATTGTTTCATCAGCATCTGATTCGTATTGATCCCATTTATATTTTTCACTTTTGCATTTATAAGATGCTCCACACTATTTGATACTTGAATCACTTGATTCAACTGATTCATATTCAAGATAGGGTAAAGAAATATTTTTGGCAATGGGGCTAAGGAGGGTAGTAGTAAATTGAATATTATAGAGGGTAGAATCTTGATATATTTGAAGGTTATTTTTGAGGAAGGGATACTTTGTCATTTTTAAGAATAGAGAAGTCAGAAGCATAGTATATTAATGGAAAAAGATTAGCAAAGTTAAGTGGAGTACTAAAAATTTCCTTCTGTTTATAATTAACAGGTAATTTAGGAAATTTAGTGTTAGATGGAGAAGGGCTGCCCATTTAAGTTTTAAGTTTGATAGTATAAAGTTTAAGTTTTCAAAGGGGTTAATTCTAAGATTTATAGAAGACATAGATGATTCAAATTCAGTCGATTCAGATAAGTAATTTTTATTTTTGTTCTCAATTTCTAAAAAATTATAAATTCTTTTCTCTAACTTTTCCTCTTTATTTTCCTCCTCCTCACTATCAGTGAATCCATCTTCACATTCTTCACTATCTTGCAAATTTCTAATTTTGTAGAACGATTTTTCTCTAATGGTTTAGGTGTTAATTTTTTAAATTCCACTGGGACAATGATTTCTTTTCCCTCTCAGATAAGTGCTATTTCAAACATGTTTCAGTCTATTTTTGCTTGAACTTTAGATAACCAGTCATTGCCAACAATGGTATTATAGGAGTTGGCAATGGTACTACAATATCAATGAGGATTTCTACTCCTCCAACGTAAAGAGAAAATTTGATATTTCATCAGGATGCACTTACTTTCTCTATAGATATTCACCATATTAACTGTAGAAGGATGTTCAACTTTTATACCACAATAAATAAGAGCAGACAAAGTTTTCTGAGGATCCACTATCAACAAGTAGAGGGATAGTTTCTCCAAGAATGGTGGCGTTCCAATAAAGAGCTATTGATTTATTTTCTGTAGCTATACTAACATTAGTTTTTACTCTTCTTTTACTAGGCACCTTCTTTTTGTATAAGCTTTTAATCAACTCCCTTCTAATAAAGGAATGGTATGGAGAAGTTAGCCAATGGTAATGTTTGCTGGCTTATCCCTCAGATCAGTTATAATGGAATATAGAAGTACTAATGACAAGATTTGAAGCATCTCATCTTCTGGAACTTTCCTCTAGAGAATGAAAGCTCACTTAGATTTAGCAAAAGTAACTTTAGGATTGTTATCCTTAACTTTTTCTTTTTGATTAGATTTTTCTTTTTCCTTTTCTTTTTTTAATAATTCATTTAATAATTTCTCTTCTTCTGTTTCTAGATCATCAACTTCTTCTCTATGGCATTTGTTATATAAATAAAACTAACAGAGCATTCTTGTGATCCAGCGGCAAATAATGGAATGTCTCCTACAGGAATACTAACAAAAGTATGCTGATTATTTGGAGATGGTGGATTATTTTGACTATTTAAATTATTTAGATTATTAATAGAAGTCAAACTAGTTGCCATAGCTAAAAGGGTCTGCAAGGCTTCCTGTTGATTTTTGGGAATATTTTTAAAGGTATATTAATATTATTCCTGTGGTAATTAGAGTTAAAGTTAGAATCAGTAGTTACAGGAGGATTTGCAGAGGCTAAAACAGGATGAGGATGCATAGAGGGATGATTTTGCTGGTAATTAGGAGTTTGATTCACCGGGATATAGTTTTGCAGATAAGAATTAATTAGAACAGAGGTATTACATATCTACTAATGTGACCCTATCTTTCTACATTTATAATAGATGGGCTATAGAATATTTGCTGGAGTGGATAGCCATCTTTCTTGCAATTGTATTATTATTTTATTAATTGCTTCTGTTAATTTTTCAATAGCCGCCTTAGAGGTTGAAACTTGAGATGGGAATCTTATAGAGGCACCTAGCAGCAGTTAGAACGAGTAAAGAGCACTAACAGGGGCAAGAACTTGAGATAAGTTTTGCTTACAAGCATCCTCATATGCCTTGGCACGTTTGTAGGCTGCCTGTTAGGTATTAGAAGTAAATGGGGCTACTGCAAGAGCAAGTTTAGACCTTAAGCTATTTAGGAAAATTTGAGCCTTGGCTATATTCAAATATTGTTAATTTCCTGTTTCAATGCATTGTAAGAGTTCTTGTATAGCTGTATAGTACTTATCTACATCCTTATCTAACTGTTGCTTCCTGGTAGCCAACTGAGCAAACCACTTGCTCTCAGGAGTCAAGGTGCGGAATTGTGTAATAAAATTAGAATGAAAACTCATATTAGGTTGGGCAGGATCATCCTATACATTAATAGAGTAGGTTGATATTAGTTAGTTGCCTACTACGTAGCAGTGGAACCTTTAAGATGAAGAACAATTACAGGGATGTGGTGATTATTATTTATAAGATTTATGGCAAAAGCTTTCTCTACTTCATCAACCCATGCTACTAGATCCTGATCTCTACTACAAAGTCTAGGTAAGAGACCAGATTTAATTCGTGATTAAGCATGTTATAATTAAGTTGAGGTGCAGAGGCAGCTTACATTTATTGAATAAGCAATCCAATTTGTACTGCTAGATTATCAATGGCGTTACAGATGTTGGGTTGCTGAGGTGGGTTTGCTAGGTTCTGTTGCTGAATGAAGTTAGGTGGTTGAGCTATAACTTTTCTTTTTTGTTGATAACCAGTGTTTTTAAATATTCTCTTCAATGTGGTAACTGTTATTTAAGATGTTAAAAATAGGTTTCTATGCTAAAAGAGAAAGTCAGTTTGTTTATTCACACAACTGGCATCAAATATAACCATTAAGCTTAATGAAATAATATTAAGAGTTTGCCAACCTAACTCCAATAGTATACAGATTATAAGGCTAATTTTAGATAAGCTAAATAGGTTTTATAAACGTTAAAGAATTAAGAAGGTGAGATGGTGTTATAAGGTAATACTTTGATATCTGGGAGTGATGATAATAGATGATACAATAATGGGTAATGCTATTAAGGGTGATATCAAGGGGGTGATCTTAAAGATGGTGATGTGTAAGCAGACAATGATCAAGTGATATCAGTGATATCTTTAAGTTCACGTGATGATTTAACTAATTCTGGTAACTATACATCAGTTGAGCAATAATTACTAAAATTAATAGCAATATTTGATTTCACAGGTAGATTAGAATTCAAGTCTTAATAAGCCAAACAAAGTTACAAGTCAATTCAATCCGTTGAATTGAGTTTCGAAAGGGTTATTAAAGCTACAAGTCAAATTCAAAAGATAGAGTCTTAAAGGAAATTCAGATAAGTATATGTCTTTATTATTTATTATTGAGTGAAAGTGGACATAATATCATTCTTTATTGATTTTGAGAGCCTTATATACATATTAAAGTATTACAACATATTTGTGTAATTTTCAGCATATTTGCTGTATTTTCAACAAAGTTTCAATAATTTTAGTATATTTGCTGCTATTTCTATATATTTGTGGTTATAACCACATCCTCATAGTAGTTACTACATTATTCGTGATGCATCTGATTTTTATATATCCAAGCCACAAAGCCACTTACAACTTCTATTTTAGTATCTTCTTATACTATATATTAAAATTGTATCATGGGCCATCTCCCTCTAAAAATTACGTTTTTGATATCTGTTACACTTAAATCAAGTTTCATCCTGTAAGTATTATATTTTACACTCTTATAGTTTTATATTATCAACATGTATGTATAATTATTATATATAACTGCAAACAGATCTCTGCTAAAGTTACTTTTTTTGTGTTTATATCAAAATATGAACTACATTATTGAATATTGAATATATACATATGCACCAATAAAAATTTGGGCAAGTGAGCTAAGGTTAATTGAACATGTTTTAAAAATATATAATCCTGTTTAATATTGTGGCTAAAGCTTAAATATTTATGGATAACATGAACAAAGATAGTTATACCAGATTAACACTTGATTTTAATTATTTAGCTACATGTGTATATATATATATATGTACGTACATATGTGCATATGAACATATATGCCAAAAATAGGTTATGCTTTAATTTGGTTCTTTTAAAAAAAATGTTTGTGTTCATAGTAGATGGTTCAATAGATGGATTTATAAACTTGACAAATATTAATCATCAAACTTAATAGATAGTTCAAAGTTTAGCCACAGGAGTGCATATATCATATATACATACGCACTACCAAACTATGATATGCTTCTGAATGTTTCTAAAATATATCAATATTGTAAATATTGTGTCATTTTATTATAATTAAATCACTATTTATCAATTTAAAATTACTTTAAAAAAAAATTGTGTCATAGCAGATGGGTTAAATAAGTGAACTCTATAACTTAATAATAATAATAGTTGAATTTATTGAATTCAATAAAATTGAATATAGTTCGATAATTAAAAAAATTACAATAACAATAAAAAAAAGCTTGAAAATTTTAACCTATAAATACTCATGAAAATGATAATAGTTCAGTAATCACTTCGATTTTAAATTTTTTCAATAAATTTTCAATGAATTTTCAATTTTACTAATTTTTAATAATTCAATAATAATAATAATAATAATAATAATTATAATTATTATAATTATAATTATAATTATAATAATAATAATTCAACAATTTAGCTATTGCTCTGGTTTTATACTATTTAATTAATAATTAATAATTTATTAATTTACAATAAGAAATATAATTCTTAAAGTAAACAATACTGGTATAATATGCTTCCAATAAAAATAGCATCTGATTACCAAGCTACTTACAATAAAAATAGAAGAAAACATTAGGCTGCACCGACTGATGAACAAAAAGCAGAACATAATAAAAAAAGAAAAGAACGCAGAGAATTACAAACCTTAGAAGAAAAGTTTAATAAGTGATTGGATCGATAAAAATTTACATTATAATTTACTTCATTTTAACTACAGATATGTGATAGGTGATATGGTCCATACTTGCTATTAT